TCAAGTAAAAGTTGTAAATGATATTATTACCTATGAAAAATTTGAAATCACTATAATTTTAGCTTTTTAATAGTAATAGGAATCTATAATAACAAATTCAACATGCCAGCATTGTTTAAGTATATGTATAGCGTATAAATCCTTAAACAACTGTGTAAGCATAAAATAGTCTATTCAATCGAAAAAACGTTCTCTATTCTACCATGGATTGGAAAATTTCAACAAAAAAAGACTGACGAACATTATTTCCGAGCTTCTAATCACAAAGAGCATTGATAACGTGTTCGTCATACGCTTTTGAAATCGGACATAGCAAGGATTTATCCGGCAACCAATTGCGTAGTTTTAACCCCTGAAATTCCTGTATCCCTCGGAGGAAATTACGTACCGAAAGATTAATTGCAAAACGATGAGCGAGTTTCGTCGTTTTAAATTATTTCATCATTTATACGTTCCGATCATCAAAGGGACTGGTTTCTACGCAAACGATTTCCACCAATTTATTGTGATTTCAACGAATTGAATTAAAGGTGTAACGCAGATCAAATATTTTGTCCCGAAGCGAAAAGGTCAATAAAGAGAATTATTAATACCCCGGCGTACATCGCGTACGTCGTGATTCGTAATTGTTTTACTCCTGACGAGGACAAACAAAAAATACTTTCATACATCGCACTGCACTAATTGGAGTAATGATGTTCGCGCAATTAATCACAACTCCTGCCGCACTGTTTGACGAAGCGAAAGAATTTAACTCTCGCTTAATGAATCCGTATTGCGCAAGCTGTGTATAGAACAAACTGACCTGAATTATTTTTCGCGAGAGCCGAGTAAAAGTGGCTGAACGCTAGGAAAGTACCTGAGGAATTTACTGTGTGAAAGAAAAGTGGTCACGAGTCGTAATACCGTTTAGGATCCGAGGGAAAGTTGAGAAATGATTTTCTAATTGCAGGACGATGAGCGATTAAGGAAAGCAGGAATGCAGAGTTCACGTGCGACTCGAAACGGCCATAAGAGATTACTGTAGCAACGAAAGGTACGTTTAGAATCATATCCACGTTCCTCTTTCAAATTACATTGAGCTACTGTTTATTGTCTGTAAACATTGTTGCAAAAACAGGGCGGAAATTGTCAGTCGCGTTTAGCCGAGGATAATGATTTTCGTCTACAGTCGCAGCCTGTTATAAAACACATATTGCGAGTATTGCGTAACTGTGGAGCTGTTTCCGGAACGCGAAACGTTGAAAATACAGTGGCGGATTTGCGAGCAGTGTTCGCGATAATAAAAGGGTCGATTAGATACGTGCGATTAATTAGGCCGTTGTATAAACTAGTCCAAGAACGCAGAGGAGATAAAATCCAAGGCACTCGATACGACCGACTCTTTAACATCTTTATGCCTTGACAACATTTTTCTATATAATCAATCTTCAGAGAGTGCTTTCTCATCGGGCGAACTTTTAATTCCGACGTTAACTTGTTAGTCAAGATAGATCGTTTGAGGGATGATCGATGAATAATCAGGAAGAACGTAACCCCCTTACCAACTATTCTTTTATACTCTTTTTTTTTAAAAGGATCACATTGAAATATTCAGTCAGTTTGATATTCTGCATCATTTTCTACAATACACGCATCGTTTATAATTCGCTGTCTACTAATCACATCAGGATTTACCAAAAAGATGCTCGCAACCCTTACATACAATGATGACCACGTTTTTTTATTCACTTTCGAACATTTTCCACTTACCTACACGCGATCGCACGAGACGACCCTTGCGAAGAAGATACGATAATTACCCGATTGAAATCGCGAATCGCGTCGTAAATATAAAAAATAGGAACGATTCCTCTCGGTTACATAATATAGACGCGGGGGACTTGGAGCGCCGGTGGTAGAAATTAATGACTTTTAATGGAGCAACGAGTCTCATATGCGAACTGAACGTTCGATGGGAATGAAAATAGGAATAATAGACTCTGAATAATAAATGGCGAATACCTCGGCTCGAAAAGATTCATCTAACGTGCGCCAGTTAAGCCGAGGGTTAAAATCACGGGACTCATCCCTCTTGCCTCCTCTCCGATATACTGCGGTATTATAAATATAATCTGAGAAAACGACGATCGATCACACAGAAGGCTGGTTCACGGATGTCGCGCACGAAATATTACGTGTATAAAACCTGTGCAGCTGCCAGGGTAATCCACAGATGATTGCACTTCTCCACAACAACATCAACAACGGGGTTTAAATCACGCACCAAGTAAAAAGGACCGCGCACGAGAGACGAGACCGTGGGGCACGGGCACGTGGATGTTACGAGGTATAAACGACGAGTAAAAAAAAAAATGCGAATTCACAGCCCCCGGAGTAAACGGAAACGCGACGACGGGATGATTCTTTCAGCCCTGAAACGCGCACCGCGGCGTCTGAATACAAACTGCCATCGTCAGCCCGCGCCGCGGACGAACGCACGACGATCACGACGCCAGCGCCTCCGATGACCGTCTTTCATACTAGTCATTAAAAGGATCACATTGAAATATTCAGTCAGTTTGATATTCTGCATCATTTTCTACAATACACGCATCGTTTATAATTCGCTGTCTACTAATCACATCAGGATTTACCAAAAAGATGCTCGCAACCCTTACATACAATGATGACCACGTTTTTTTATTCACTTTCGAACATTTTCCACTTACCTACACGCGATCGCACGAGACGACCCTTGCGAAGAAGATACGATAATTACCCGATTGAAATCGCGAATCGCGTCGTAAATATAAAAAATAGGAACGATTCCTCTCGGTTACATAATATAGACGCGGGGGACTTGGAGCGCCGGTGGTAGAAATTAATGACTTTTAATGGAGCAACGAGTCTCATATGCGAACTGAACGTTCGATGGGAATGAAAATAGGAATAATAGACTCTGAATAATAAATGGCGAATACCTCGGCTCGAAAAGATTCATCTAACGTGCGCCAGTTAAGCCGAGGGTTAAAATCACGGGACTCATCCCTCTTGCCTCCTCTCCGATATACTGCGGTATTATAAATATAATCTGAGAAAACGACGATCGATCACACAGAAGGCTGGTTCACGGATGTCGCGCACGAAATATTACGTGTATAAAACCTGTGCAGCTGCCAGGGTAATCCACAGATGATTGCACTTCTCCACAACAACATCAACAACGGGGTTTAAATCACGCACCAAGTAAAAAGGACCGCGCACGAGAGACGAGACCGTGGGGCACGGGCACGTGGATGTTACGAGGTATAAACGACGAGTAAAAAAAAAAATGCGAATTCACAGCCCCCGGAGTAAACGGAAACGCGACGACGGGATGATTCTTTCAGCCCTGAAACGCGCACCGCGGCGTCTGAATACAAACTGCCATCGTCAGCCCGCGCCGCGGACGAACGCACGACGATCACGACGCCAGCGCCTCCGATGACCGTCTTTCATACTAGTCAAATCGTCAAGCCCCCTTTAAACTTTTCTTATTTTTCTTTATCACACAATTTCTGGTAGAACGCCCCCCTCTGTTCAGAAATGGAGCATGTGAATCCTTTGATCAAATTTTATACGGAAATCTGACTGTAGTCCGATTAACGTGAAGCACTTCGATGCACAATTTATTGTATCAAGCTAGACGCTTTTAAAATAGGGCACTACCTTTTTATATTAAGCTCGTTCGGGGGGTGCAGTCGTGTTCGATGCTAAATTAATTATACATAATTATTAAAGTTCAATTTGTTATTATTTCAATTTTCCATGTGCTCAGATTAGTCCTACAAAGGAAAGTTTCCTAATATTGGGAGATTTTTAATTGATCATAGATTGTAAATGATTTCTGATAAGATTCCAGTATTTATTTCACTCCATATTACCTAAACTTATCTACACTTTGTATTAAAAAATGAATTTTTATGCGAACTTAAGAATTTTCTCTGATCCGTAGAAGGATTGTCGTCCTTTGATACTGCACATCGTTTTGTGACGGTAATTAATTATTTGAAATTACTGTGAATCACTGGTCACGTTGTACACTTACGCAAGAGAATTTAACGGGCTTGCGGTAGACCGACGAGAAAGCACAGAAGGCTATCGAGTTACGTAAATGAATAATTGAAGTGATTAATTAGGGCGAGATTCGTCAACCTGCTACTGTACTATTTATCTCTTCCGATAGTGCAAATACACATGTCGAAAGTTCGATGTTTCAATCATTTGCACATGCATCTGCACGTACAATCTGCATATACAGTCTGCAAATGTATCTATACATAGTCTACACGTATTTCCGCGTACGAAACTTGCACATACAATCTGCATATGCATCTCCATATGAATCTGCAGGAAATTGTTAATCAGTAGATTTGCACAAACGTGTATTTCCCTGTTTCCGAGTTTCCAGGAAAATCGTAAAGGGTGGTAAAATAAATCGCTGAACTAGAGGAGCGCAAAGATATTTTCGGCATTGTTCGGACGCCGGGTGAAAGACGTCCGATCCGTAGGGTGAAATATTACTTTCGACAGGCAAAGCCGTGCCTCGGCCCGTGGTTGGGAAAATTTAATAACTCACCGGCACACGGGGACTCGTTCGAGTAGCGGGCGCTCGAGAAGAGGACCGTGGGCGGATGACCAGCGTTCGACACAACGTGCTCGTCGGAAAGAAATGAGGAAAAAAAAAAGCGTGCGGAACGGTACGAGAGCGAAACGAAGCAAAAAGAAAAGAGGAAGGAAGGAAGGAAGGAAGGTGGAGTGGGCGTGAAGGGAGGAGGGTGAGAGGCCCGCTGTCACTGTAGGGAAGGTCGTATGGAAACGAGTAAATTTTCCAGTGCAAATAAAACTTCCGCCGAAAGGGCCCACCGGTCCTCGATTAAACCGGCGAAGGGGAATAAATGAGGCACAGAGCAGAGGTCAAAAGCGAGCGCATCTTTCGATTTCGCGTATCGTATGCAAAAAAATGCAATTTCATTACCGATCTCGATATTGTTTTTCGGTAATAAAAATTCTTCAAACACGATTCCATCACTTTTGGAATCTACGTACAATATGTTAAATGAACTGGTACGAAGGATACAAAGAGTGAAAATAATAGAATCGCGAAACAATCACGTTTCATGGAATGAAACTTTCCTTGGAAAATTGCGTCTCGTTTTTATCTCTCGCTGTACGTTTTTCCACGGTCCCTGTTTGTTTGCCACGGTCTCGCGTGCGCGTAGAAAAATACGTGAACATTGAATACGTAGGTTTGACTCGTCCTCCACGTGGACTAATCGGTGCTGATTTTAACCGCGGCACGAAGCAATTAAAAAACCGATTAACTGAGAATGTTTCGAAAAGTTTTGTTTCACTGCTGTGACGCTTTCCATTTCATTAACGAAGAACCCGTCGGACCGTGTTCGATGCTCCCTTTTTATTCCAAGCATTGTTGTTTTTTTTATTGTCCAGCGAAGCTCTGAGATAAATGAGAAATGAGATTTTTTCTAATGGACGTACGAGCTGGGTAATAACTTTCTTCGTTGAAAATTCTATTGTTGCGCAGAGGATAAAAGGATGGACGAAGAGACCTTCGACGACTAACGGCGGTGAGAGATGGAAACGAAGCAGAACGACGAAGCCACACATAAAAAACAAAATTATTTCCCTACATTTTTTTCTCGACTCACAGTTTCGTCTGCATAAAACATTTCCAACTGTGAAGGCTCAATTATTTTCAGACGAGAGCGCGACGAGCCTCAAGGCCAAGAACACGGACGAAATGAAATTCTTCCGAGCCTACATTTCATTAAAAGACATTAAGAATGCCTCAGGCCGCGCGAATGAAATCGCAATTATGCATGCGCCCGCCCCGCAGCTTAACTTTACAATCCCCGAGTCGAACAAACTCAAAACTGCGTCCCCTATTTTAAATTACTAATAATATGTACTTTCTCGTGCGAACCGTTCTCGCGCTCATTACGACTGAATTTCGATTCTGTTTTTTTCGAACCTTTGAACCACGAAATTACAGAACAGAGTTCGATCAATCATGAAACAGCGAACGAACGAGGAAATACCAATCAATCAATTATATTAAAAGAACGGTGCAGCTAGCTGGAAAAATATGTTCGAAAAGGCAGGAAAGACATTTAACAGTGCTGCGTAAAAGTCAAAGGGTGATTCCTCGACAAGGGACACTACCACAAATTGAGTCTGCGAACAAAAATAGAACCACCCGGCACGAGTTTATCAAAGAAATGTTGATTCGAAAACTTGACGCGCTGCGAAGGGACGTTTCTAAATGCGGAATCGATGCAACGTAGCTTTTTTATTCGACACGCGAGTTTCAACCTCTATCCTGACGCGGTTTCAATCGATACACCTCCAGGCGTAAGCGTGCTCGTTTCGAACGAGCCTCCGTCACGGATACAGGATTCATTATTCCACGACCGGCACCGGTGATTCGTGTCAATCCACGTAATGCTACTGACATCCTGTTTCAATCCAGACTTCGTCCTCTGTCCTACAATCTAAAATAGTCGGACAGTAGAACGGCGTTCTCGATTCCTCACGTTACGCAGATGTAAAAATAATTTACTGAAATTAGCGTATTTAAAAATTGCAATTACTTTTTTCGAATAATATTGTATTATCAAGTCGCACTTAAAAAATCGATAATTTAATCTTGAAATGTTTTAGTAGCCAAGCCCAGAGGTTTAGTAGACTGCATCAGACACACGGCATGGAACAAACCACAGCTGGCGTTAGAATATCACGAGAGCAAATATTATCGCAATCACACCTCTGATTACAGTTTCTTCGTGCCAGGGACAACCTAGCCGCGAAGCAACGCGTTACACCCTACGGCTCTACAACATTTGCGTTACCCAACGTGTCTGCAATTTTTCTAAGTCTATTGATTTTCGTGCTTCTTATTAATACTGCGTCTTTTGAACATTCGTTTTACTCGATAAAAAATATCAATTCTCTGATTCACGTACGAAGTTAAATATTCGATTTTTAAAGCTGATATTATAAATGTTCTATTTGGAATAAAAATGGATAGTTTACTAATTACGGGGAAGGATCATCGTATAGGGTAACCGCTAAAAGGTGGAACGTGGAATAAAACAGCGATGAGGCTTTCCTGTACCTTCGACAGGACGACGTTCCTTAGAAAACGATCCCCCAGCGAGTTCCCTCATTAATGAAGGCTTAATTAGCGTGGCTCGGGTTTTTATCCGAACGATACCCGCTTCCGGTTCCGCTTCCTTGGTCTTCCGCGTCGAGTAAACGAGCGGGAAAGACTCGAATCGGGCCTGGATTGGCCACCGTTTCGACTGGCTGCATTATCTATACTTGGCCAACCGTAATCACAGTGCAACTATCCAATCGATAGCATCTCGAATCCTCCCGTTTAAACCCGAT